AGGATTCGGGAACTGTTATTTAGGCATGTGGTCAGTAAAAAGTGGGCATTTGGAAGGCCATTCGCCTTCTTAGGGACAGAGGGTCTTACTGGCCTGGCAATCACCAATTCAATTAAGTTGGTGGCCAGGGAGTCTTTTTCAGCTGCTCCAGCACTGGGATTACACACAGTAGCCACCATGTCTGGCTCTCAGGTCCTTATGCTTGCATAGAAAGCATTTTCAGTACACTTGACTGAGCCACCCCCCCCCCAAATCCCGACTTTGCTCCTTTTATAGACAAAGAGCCTCAAACAACCCAAATGGAAAACCTGGACCTAAACCTAAGGTGGCCTGATACAATAGCTTCCCAAGTCCCCATGCTTCCCTCCATGGTCATAGGCCATTCCTAGCCCCTTGACTCCAGGAACTTTGAACAGTCCCCTATGAGGAATGAATAATAGGAGAAGTTTTGAAGGAGGATAATATCTTGCAGTAATGAAAGAAGAGCGGCAGGAGCCAAGGTCACAAGGAACACAGCTGGCAGTCCGTACTACCAGCATCTTCTCTAAAGCCCTCTCGCGCGCGCCCTGTGTGGCTTCCTACACTGGGTAAGAAAGATGCCCACAGCATGCACCCTGAACCTAAACAGGAAGAAGCCTTCTCTCTCCATCACTAACATCCATCCCAGGGAAGAAGTTTGAGGGAGTTTGATTGGTACTACACCCTCCCCTTGGACCAATCACTGTGGCTGGAGGATGAGGTTCTACGGTTGGTGCCATCCAAGTCACATGTCTAGCTGATGGAAGTAGAGCAGGATGGATGAAAGGAACTGGTGCTTTAACTGACAACCCTCCATGAGTTTGTGACAATAGAGAGAGATTTCCCAAAGGAAGAAGATGTCAGAAGTGAGATGATGGAAATCAGGCAAGAGAGGTAAGAGTCTCTTGCTGTCACAGCTCACTACACTGGCCCTGTGAGAGACAGGGGACACACACACACAGACATCACCATGTGGCATTCGCAGCCTCCAAGAGAAATACGTTTACAGACGTGAAGACATTAATAAGAGCTGATAGCAGCTACCAGCTATGAGCACTCACAGAGGCCAGGCATTAACCTGGAAAGTGGGTACTGCTGTCGCCCCATTTTTTCTTAGCCTAAGAGACAGAAAAAAAAAGTAGGAAATACTCTCACATACACCTCTGCCAATTCCATGAGAGCCAATTCCAAAACTTATAGAAATGTTTATGGGTCCCTTATCCTCACTCAGAGAAGCTAAGTGACTTCCTTGAGGTCAAATAGCTATCACACAAATGAACATCCTGGGAAGTATTTGATTAAGGGTAAAAGAATGCTTCCTATAGACTAAAGGACTAGGGAAGGCTACCTGGGAATGGGGAAGGTAGTAGAGGGCAAACCGAAGCAGAGCCTGGAGGATGGAACATCTGGGTGTGTCCAGGGAAGGGGGGTCAATCCCCCAAAACTCAGGGAGGCAAGTCTGAACACTCCCACATCTGTCTGTCCCCTCTGTTTTCTGGCAGATCTTTCAAGGTTCCTGATCAGAAGGGCCTTCCCTGAGCCTGCTCTTCTCCAAGTGACCCTAGCCAGCCCAGCCACTCTTCACAGGACTTGTACACTGGTCCATCACCTCTGTTCTGGGTGTTCTCCTGTGTAATACAGCTTTGGACAGGTCCTAGGCACAGTTTGAGCCATACAAAAGACAGAAGAAATGTCACCTCCCCTTTTCTAAGCATTGAACTTCCTAAGGAGCCCCAAGATCTATTAGTAAGTATTAATCTGAAGCCTCCCTGGCTCCCAGCACTCCCAGATCAAGGCCATCACCCCCTCTGTGATCAAGAGAAAGCAGTTCCAAGCCTAAAATGAGACCCTCATTTTGGTGTTTTAGGCTTAGTCCATGCTGGCTGCCCCGCCCCCAGCATCACAGCTTCTGCAGAAGCAGGGCTGGGGCTGTGTGACTTCCACACAATATGCCTGATGCCACAGAACTATGGGCTCTAGATGAAATGGTACATGTGCTACCACGCGCATTTATCACAGGTTTAAGCCAAGTGTTTGGTAGGAATCTCTGGAGTCACCTCCTCTAGCCAGCCTATCCCCAGCCCAGGCAGCTAGGACCCCTTAAAAAGCAGCAGAGGAGGAACTCCCTGGTACTTGTAGAAGACCCTGAGGACTCAGAGGCCAAGTGAAAAGGTTGATATCTACACCCCAATCACTGTCCTGAATCTAGGACCCCTAAGGCCACCTTAAAATTTCATCTGGCTCCCAGTCCCCAGCCCTCCCTGTCCTGTAGTTCAGGAGCTCCACTTGCCTCCACTACCCACCTTTTGAAATGTCTTCCTCAGCAGCCATTCAGTTTTAAATGCCCAACAATTTGGCTCCTGTCACTCCCTGCTCACCCACTTACACACACAGCAAACTATCCCTGCCGGTCACCAATGGCCTCCTAAGCATGAAGAAGGCCAATGAACACTTTCCTTCTCTCATGAGCAGCCTTTGACACCAGGATGTCAAGATCCACAATTCCACTCCCTGGGCTCTAATCCTTCCTCTCAGACTGCTACTTCCCCTTCTCACTCCTGGGCTCTTCTGAGCAGCCAGCCTGGTCCTGATGCTGCTAATGTTACTTCTGCACAGCTAGCCTGCTTATAGCTCATCTTCTCTGAGGATGCTCCAGAACAAGTGCCACAGAGCCACCACTGTCACGCCCCAGACCGTCTACGAACACGGCTTTTCTTCTGATTCTATCTGTCCCAGACTTCTGCTCTTCACCCCAGACCGCTCAGATGCACACAGCCATTTACTCTGCCTGTAATCCGGAAGCACAGGTCTGTCCCTATGTCTCAAAAAAGGAAGCCAACCAAATGATTTCACCAAGCAGCACCCCTTCCCCACATCCCTGCTGCTACTCTGCTACACACAGCTCAAGACCTATAAGGACCTCCTAATTGGACAGCCGGCTTGTGACCTCCTCAAAACCACCATTGACTGTCTGGAGTGGGGTGAAGTTCCCCTAAGAGAGCAGATAGGACCTGGCTTCCTCCCAACAGCACAGGCCCCCTCTGCCAAAAGATAAATTTCAAGCTTCTAACCATGGCTTCCTGTCTCCTGATCCAGTCTTCCTCTGTCCTATTTCATACAGTTTTCCAAACGGTATGGACAGAGCCACTTTGACTGAAACTTGCCCTCCCCCACTTCTGCTCCTAAGCCCTTCCTCCTACTCAGCTTCCCTCCTGGGATGCTGATCCCTCCTTTCCCCAGGCCACACCCTCCCAGATTCCCACTTCTGCTAAGATTCAGCTCAAGGATTGCATTCCTGGGAAGAACCTCTGGGGATGGGATGGGGGAGGGAGGGCAGGGTAGGACTGGCCCGTGCTTCCTCCTCTTCATCCCATACCTGCCATGTCTCCAGAGCTTCTAGAATGTCCTGTGTCCTGCGGGCACCATCCTTTAGTTTGCTCAAGAATGTCCTCATGGGGGAAGAAAGAGAGAAAGGAAGGGAGAAGAAAGGAAGGAAGGGAGGGAGAAAGGGAGGGAGGGAGAGAGAGAGATGGAGAGAGAAAGAAAGAGAGAAAGAAAGAGATGGAGAGATGGAGAGAGAAAGAGAGAGAGAGAGATGGAGAAAGAAAGAAAGAAAGAAAGAAAGAAAGAAAGAAAGAAAGAAAGAAAGAAAGAAAGAAAGGAAGGAAGAAAGAAAGAAAGAAAAAAGAGAGAAAGAACAAGAGCATGTGGAGAACTTGGATGGAGAACTACGGGAACTGAACCATCTGAAACAGCCCAACAGTACTCACCAACCCCTCCCTCTAGGCCAGAGCATGGAATGAACACAATAGCTGTTCAGTGAATGTTGGCTGGATTCTATTTACTGAACTGACACAAGATTTGGGGCAGTCTGAGGCCTGATGGCAGAAGTGAAAAACAGACAGAAGGGGAACCCCGGGGCTCGCAGCCGTGTGGGAAGGAGGGCCCGAGGGATTGTGTGAAAGGAAGGTGAAGGAACTTGGGAGTCAAGTCCGGGCCACTGTGCACCCCAGGCAGCGGGCAGCAGCCGGGCTAGCGCCCAGACCTTCCGGCTCCCGAGGGTGGCGAGACCCCCCGGCTCGCGCGCTCGGCTCCGGGAGCTGGGAGGCGTGTGTCGCTTTAAAAGCTCCCTCCCGGCGCGCGGGGCCGGCCCCTTCCCTGCCGGCGCCGAGGCGAGCGGAGCCGCGCGAGCCCCGCGGCCTTTGAGGGAGCCAGCGCCCGCCCGGGCGGCCAGTCCGGCGGGGCGCGGCGGCGCTCGGGAGGAGCCGGCCAGGCCCGCGGAGCCGGGCGGGCAGAGCAGGGCAGGGCAGCGAGAGAACGAAGCCGCCGGGAAGAAAGGCCCGAGCCGTCCCGGCGCCTCGTTCGCCCCATCGGCAGCCGCCGTGCGCCCGGGGCCGCGAGGCGCGGAGCCGTGAGCGAGCGCGCAGGAGGCGGCGGAGCCGAGCGGAGGCTGCGCACCCCGTGCGCCCGGCCGGGCCCGCCGCGCCTCCTCCATCGCCTCCCCGGCGCCGTGCTCGCCTCCTCTGCTTTCCTTTGCTCTAGCCCCGCCGCGCCGGGCCCCCCCCCCCCGACCTCGTGCACCCATCTGCGCTGCGCCCGACACCCGGTCCCCAGGCCACGGCCGCTGCCCCTCCCCCGGGACCCAAAGGCATCCGACTTTCCCCACCGTGGATGGAAGCGACTGCCGGGCTGGGCTGAGCGGTTTCTGCGGCCGCTCCGGACGCCCGGGGCCGGAGCACGGACAATCTGGGTCCCGGCTGAGTGCTCCCCGGACGCCTGGCAGTGCCAGCTCGGGAAGGGCAGGGCGAGGCAGGGGCAGGACAGACCCCGGAGGGGCCCAGACGCGCCGATCTGGACTGGACAGAGAGAATCGCGAACCCTGCGGAGCCCGGGGAATGCCAGGCGTGGGCTGAGGGGATCCCGGCGCCCTCCCCAGCCCTCCGACTTTGGCTGAGTCGCCCGGACCGGACCGGCATCGCCTCGGCCCGGGTCACCTGTGGCCTCGGGGCCCCTAAACCCGCCGGACCCTCGCGATTCGGAGCCTGGCGGGCGTGGTGGGGGATTTTTTTTTTTTTTTTTTTTATTGCCCCCTTCCCGGGAGCGAGGAGGCCCCGCCCCCTCCCACCGCCCAGATGTCTCCGGTCACTGCTCGGAGGACCTTCCTGAGGCCAGGAGCGGAAGGGTCCAGAGAGAGAAGCCCACCCTAGGGAGCCTTGGGGGCCACCCAACCTCGTCTTGGGGCTCGGCCCCCGACGCTGCTTGGAGGAGAGGCCGGTGCCCCCACCCTCGGTGAGTAGGGGAGTCCGGCTTCGGGGAGAAGGCGGAGCTGGGGGTGGAAGGGTCCGCTGAGGAGGAGGGCACCCTGTGGGCTCTGGAAGGATGGAGGATTGGAGAGGCCCTGCGCGGAACCAGCCTGGCCAAGCTTGGTGGTGGCTGGGAGCGGGGGTTGGGGGGTGCCACGGCTAGAGTCCCAGAGGAGGCTGAGGACTTATGCCTCTAAAGGAGGGGCTCCTCCTCTCTTCCTGTCGAAGAGGGGTGTGCTGAACACCACCCCTCCCCACAAACAAAAATAAAGAAAGAAATCTCCAGCGAGGAAGGAGGGTGCAGGCAGGGAGAAGAGGGAGGCAGGCAGCAGCAGCCGCCGCGGCATGCTGGTGCAGCAGCCTGGGAGGGCTGATACCAGGCTCGCTCTTTCTGCAGGGGGCTGCCCTCCTCCAATCCAGTTCTCTCTTCAGCGCTGTTCACATCTGGAGCCCCCTCCACATCTGGAAGACCCTGATCACCATCGCCTGCAGGTTCGGCTGCATCTAGAGACCTATGCCTTTGTAACTGCCTAGGAGTTGCGAGGGGATTGCTGTCTTTCCCCCATCCCAAGGGCATCTCTTACCCTCAGTCCTTGCAGAATCATCCCCCTGCCTCCGAATCGGAAGACTCAGGCAAAGATTAGCTCTGTACACCACAGGCCCTTCACGTCCTGGAAGCTGTTCTTGGGCCCTAAGGTCCCTCCCCTTGCCCTCCTGTGTCCTTACCTTGACCCCCCCCCCCACCTCTGTCAGACTCTGTCTCCCTCTGGGTGCTCCATCCCCCACCCAGAGGCAGAGTAGGTGGAGTGGCAGGCTGCAGGGGTTGGGTGAGGGCCGCCCAAGGCCAGGGTAGGCTGGGGGGCCGTTAAGATGTGGAGCTCTGCCCGGCCGAGGGGGGCTCCGTGGAGGCAGACGAAGCGTGTGCCCCGCTGGGGAGAGCATGGGCAGGCTTTCGGCCACGTTGTGAAGGATGAACATTCGGGGTGCCCCGGACCTCGGGCAGCCCAGTGAAGACCCCAACAGTGGTGGAGAGAGAGAACGGATTCGACAGCGCATGAAGATGGTCATCGGGCAACTTGAAGGCATCCTGAGGGAACTCAAAGAAGTGGCTAAGGAGCTGAGGGAGGTGAGTGCGAGGCCAGCAGGGGCCACAGGGACCCTAGCCCTGCCTGGCTGGGCTCAGCATCAAAACATTTATGCCTGTTTGAGTGTGCAAAGTTATGTGCACGTGGGCTCTTGCACTGAGGAGCACCCTTCCCATTTTCCTTGCCTCAAATCTGCTCTGCTAAAAATCCCTGGCCTCAGAGCTGGTGGTGGGGCCTTGGTGTGGCGGAGACTGCTTGAGCAGGTGTCAGAGAGCCCAGCTCAGCGGTTATCGCTCAGGGTGTCCATCCTTAATGGGACACATTCTTCTGAGACCCAAGCTGTCCCTGGACCCTGCTGTTTACCTTCCAGACTCTGAGCAAGGACTGATGGCTCTACTGAGTCAGTCCCTACTGCTTGAGACTCAGCTCAAAAATATTACTTCAGGGGTCAGATGCTCCGAACCCTTAATTTACAAAGGCAGGGCAGGGTTAAAACCAACTGTGGCCTCTCTGTCCTAGAGTAAGGATGTGGCTGGGAGGTGCTGGTGGGGACCAGAGGTCCTTCTGTGCATTGAAGAAGAGATGGTTCTTTCTTATGGAGATGAGTCTCCCTCTCACAGGGCATGCTTCTGGGTGGTTTCTGCAAAGCCCAAAAAATCACCGAGAAACCCTCTCTGTCTTCCGAAGCAGAGCCCAGTTTAATTACTGCTTCCCACATTGCTGGAGTAATGAGGTACACGTGTCTTCCACCCTGCCCCCTGGGCTGCGTTCAAGTCCAAAATGCATGACCAGCGTTCTGAGCCGCTGGCCTGAATTTGCCCGCTGGGCCCCATTTCACCAGCCAGGTGGGCTTTAGGCAACTTTCAGCTCCTTGTAACCAGTGCCCCTGAAGAGTGGAGGGGAATGGATCATTCTGAGTTATGGACTCAAGCCCCCCCACCAGCCGTGTATGGGGAAGGAGGCTGTAGGAAAATGAGGAGATGGGCAGGCTTTGAGCAGTGTGACTTTCCAGCCTCGCCTGAAATCAAGCCAGGGAGGGGGGTTGTTTGAAGGGAGCTGTGAGTTGGAGTCAAGGGTGATGCCAGGCCCCTTAGAGAAGTGCAGCTGAGAGGGTCTAGAGTCTGCTTCATGAAACCTGCCAGGAGATGCGGACATGGGAATGAGAGGCGGCGGTACTCCTGCCCACAAGCTGGGCTGCTGTGGTCTGGGCTCCATAATGCAAGTGGGAAGCCAAAGACCACAGCCCTGAACATTTTCTCTAACCTTTTGAGTCCAAAGGCCTCTCCTAACCTGTCATATTCTGCAGTTTTATCAGGGCCCTGGGAACTATCCAAAGTTTCAAGCTCAGGCAGGGACGTGGGGCCTCAACAAGCGCTGATATCGTATAGAAGCCCGGGGTTATCCTTTGCATGCCTCTCAATGGGGCATCTTCTAGACCCTGCCTCTTCTCCCTCAGCATAACCCTTCAGAACTTGAAAGGAGCCCACAGGGAGTTCAGACAATCTCTGTGCATTTACTATTGAAGAAACTGGAGCCCAGAGAGGAATAAGGGGTTGTCCAGGGCTACACAACCTATTCATAGCAGAATTGAGCCTAGGACTCAAGGTTCCCAAGCTTCAGCAGGTAGGCTAACTGTATAACCTCAGCATCTTGACAGGAGCGTCTAGAGATGGCTGATGTCTGAGCTGCGGTACCCAAGTACCAGGGTTAATATATGAGCTTTTAGATGTTCCCCTCTTCCCTTCACACTTACTGATTCCCCGTCCCTCACTCTAAAGCTCCAGGGGATAGTTGGTACACCCCAGAGGTCTGAGCCAGGGCAGACTGATGAGTCCCCTCCCCCACATCTGTAGGCCATGTGTCTCCACCCAAGACTTTGGCAGGTTGCTATGGAAACCAGAGTCTACCCCGTATGCCACTGCCTGCCCGCTGCCAATGGTACCCAGCTGGGTGGGGGGTAGAGCCTCAGATCTCCCTAGTCCCCCAGAAAGGGGATGTGTACATAGGGTGAGGGGCAGAGAGAAACACTCAAGTAGAGAAGAGATGCCGTATACCTTCCTGTGAGCTGGGGTTTGTTGGGGACAGGAATATCTGCGGATCTCAGGTCCTGGTTTCAGACTTTGGGTGGGCCCATGGTAGAGTGAACAAGCCCCTATTCCCTCATTCATACCCGACTTCATGGGCAGCACCTGCTCATCCCCTCCAGCTCAGAGCAAATACCTGAGTATGGGGACAAGAGTTATGTACAATGGTTGGTAGGTGCACTGCACAGAAACCCTGTTGAAGGATCCAGGCAGCGAAAAAGCAGGTGCTGCCATTCTCTCTCCTCCCTTCACTATCCTCCTGCCTACCTCCCTGCCTGTCACCACTGGCCCTGAAGACACACACACACACACACACACACACACACACACACACACACACACGCTCTCTCGCGCTCTCTCTCTCTCTCTTTCCTGATCACAAAGCCTGAAACTGACCAAAAGATGAAAGCCATCAGAGCCTCTGCCCTAAGCCCTCGAATCTTCACTTGTTCTGAAAGCGGGCACTGAGGACTTGTCCCTCACAGTGCTGCTGCAAGCGATGCCCTCCATGGTGATGTCGGAGGCATAGCACGAGGGAGGAGGGCCAGTATCTGCTCACACTTCCAGAGGATTTGGAGCACCCTCTATCCCCACTACAGCTCCACCATCAGCTGCCTGGGGGGGGGGGGGGGGACTAAGTGAAGTAAGGAATACAAAAGCACTTTGAAAACTGAAACTGAACTGTCCAGGGATGTGACATGACAGTCAGACATTAATTAGCTGTCATTTCTCCCAGGTTCCCAATACTCCAAGATGCTAGACCAATCCCAGCAGGCTCCCTAAGTTCCCCAGATTCCATGGATCTCCGTTACAGACACCATCCCAAGGGGCAAAGAGCGTAGGCCAGCCAGCCAGAGATTTCTGGTTCAGTCCTTAGTGTTCTGCCTCCTGAGCTGTGTGAACTTGGAAAAGTTACTTTGCTTCTCTGCTTCCATTGGCCCATCTGTAGAAGGCAGATACCAAATATTTCTGTGCTCCCTTACATAAACCACATAGCAAAGCCACATCCTTTTTGTTTTGTTTTTGCTTTGCGGTGTCAGGTATCAAACCTAGGGCCCAACACATGGTAGGCAAATGCTCTCCCATAGAACTAGGCCTCAGCCACCCACAAGGCCTTGTTCTGCGTCCAGCAGCTCCTGGCGAGGCCTTCCTACCCACCACCCTGCTCCCATAGACTCAGAGCTCCCAAAGCAGGGTGAAGGGGTCCTCATCCTTGGCCAATCAGGTTTTGAACTCACCTTGAACATGTACTTGCTCCTTCCTGTTCCATGGGGGATCAAAAGTAACCACCTGCACCTCCACATCTCCTGTGAATCCTGAGTAGGATGTAATTTAAGCATGCCATTGCCTCTGTGTCCCCAAAACCTCAGGAGAATGGAGTAGGCATAGCCCCTCCTCAGCCTGAGGTGGCAGGCAGTAGGGGTCTCACCACCTGGCTGGCATAGAAAGGAGGTGCTGTGGCAGCCTGTTTCCCAGCTGTCCGTTGACCAGGTGCCATGTGTAAAGGTGGCAGGGGAAAATACAGACCTTGCTAGTAAGAGATAAATAAATGTGGCCTACCAGAAAGCATCTGGAGCAGGGGAAGCTGGGCACCAAAGGGCTGTGCCAAAGTGGGTCAGCTCAGTACCCACAGCTCAGTACAACTTGGGTGGATTTTTTTTTTCTTCTTATTTTTTTTTTCTTGCCTTCCTTCCCTCCTGTTTTCCTTTGCCTTCTCCTCCTCCGGACAGATTCACAGAGGCTCCCTAGCCAATTAGGCCAAATTGCAGGATGAGAGCCATGAATCATGGTCAGCTCACTCCCCATCTCCCCAATGCCACAGCCCCCCAGGAAGATAATAAACAATGTAATCACAGAATTAAAAAATAATCAGTGGTCATAAATAATGCAGGATCCCCAGTTATGTAACCAGCTGCCCAGGGAGCTGGGAAAGAGGGGAGGAGTGGGGACACTGGGTCTGGGACTCTGGGTCCCTCAGCAGTGGCTGTTGGGCCTCAGGAGATGTGCACACGCACACGCACACACACACACACACACACACACACACATGCACGCACTCATCTAAGAGGGAGTTCAGCCAGGTGTACCATATGGTCCAGGTCTGTGACAAAGAAGCCTCCCGGCCTTGGTGGTCTACAGCCGTGACTGTCGACTGGGCTAGTATCTTTGCCAAGCCAGGAACACAGTGGTGGGTGAAACAGACCCAACTTTGCTCTTTCTTAGGCTAACTGTCTAATAGGGAGGCAGACATCAACCACATTACAACATGAAAGTGTAGCTGTGACCAACATCGCCCTCAGCTGGGGACCAGCAGGCTTCTTCCAGGAAGTAAGAATGGGTGGTGGAGGGAGGGCACGCCAGGTGAGCCCAGTGGCAGCTGGAGCTCCAGCTCTAAAATGTGCAGAGAGATGAGGGGGAGGCCGCTTGCTGAAGGGGAAAGAGGGTAGTGTTTGGAAGGCTCAGGAGCTTTTAGAGAAAGGAAGGGCTGGAGGCAGAGGGCTGACAGGGTTCTGATGCTGATCAGAACATCCCTAATGTAGAGCATGGTCCAAGCACTGACAGGGAGTTACTGTTGGGGGAAGGAGTTGATGGGTCAAGACAGAGGCAGGGGACACCCTTGGAATGGGGGCTAGGTTCTGTCTCAGCCCTCAGCTCTGTACTCCCTCTCAAGCGCTCACTTTTGGCCCTTCTGGAAGAGTTTAATCTTGTTGTAAGATGGCAGGCCCAGGAGTCAGGACTCTACTTCAGGCTATAACTCAGCTCTTTCCAGGTGCTAGGCCTCAGTTTCCCTGTCAGCAAGCACAATAGCACTGGTAGATTCGTCAGTGTCTCTCCAGTACCCCAGCTTTGAGACTTTTTTTCTGGTTCTTTCTCCCCCTCTTTCCTTCTGTGTATATAATTATTTCTCTGCACTCCAAGACAATCCCAAATTACATGTAGGCAAAATGATTATTAAATCTTGGAGAGGAATCACAGATTTCAAGACAGCCGGATCAGAGTGGCAGGTAGCATGGGCCTGATCCACACTTGCTCATTGACCGAAGAAACAGGGCACCAGGGGAGGATTAGCAGGTTTATGAGCTGATCACTGCACGCCACAGAAAGCTGGGTACAGCAGGCACATGGCTTCCCTTCCTCACCCTCACGTCTGTTTATCGAGGAGTCTGGAAGCCAGATCAGCCTATGAGCCTCAGTCATGGGCCTTATGGGCCTCTTGTAGTTCCGTTCTGAATGGACACACCCACACTACAGGCAAAATGGGCAGTACTGCCACACAGGGCTGTGAAAGGCACATTACCCCATCCTGGGGTTCTGAACAGGTGCTGAGACCCGCCCATCAGTGTGGTGTTTCTTAGGTGAGAAGCTGATTCCCCATCTGCTCCTGGGCCTGCATGTGTGCTCATGCTCACTGGTGCGTAAGGGATGTCTGTGTTCTACACTGTTCTGCGCGCTTTCCCAGGGGCCTTTGGTTAAGTCCTCACAGCAGCTCTTGGGCAGAGAGAATGCTGTTAAGAATTTTCAGGTGAAGAAACAGAGGCTGAAAGTTGAGTAACTTTAATTAAGGTTGTTCAGAAGTAGTGAAGTCAGGGCTGGAGTCAGCTTTGGCTGCAGAGGCCAGATACTTATGGATACAGTGTCCTAAAACTGTAGTTTAAAATATGTGTATATCTCTTCCATCTTCATCTCCCTGAGCAAGGAGAGGGGTGTCAGAGCTAGTGACTACAATTTGGAAGTGGATCATAATCTTTCTTCAGCTCCACTGCCAAGAGGGGGCAGACATGAGACCCAAAGACAGCCTCCCTCCCTCCCTTCATACCCTGATGCAGAACAAAAAGAGGGTGCTAATGAGGAAGGGAAGGACCCACTGGGAAGGCCTCTAGAACAGGTGGCCAGCCAGGGCTCCTTCCTCGAAAGGACCACTTCAGGGTTCCAGGGCGTCCAGGCTCCTGCTGGGTGCGCTTGGGTTATCCCTGCCATCCCTCAGGCCTGGGGCCTGACAGTGCTCATTCCTGCTGAGCTTCAAGAAGCCTGGCCTCAGCTGAGTCTGTGGGATCTCAGCCAAGCCATTCAACTCCAGCTTCCTCTTGGCACCCCCAGCCTTGGGCTGCCGCAGCTGGTGACAGCTCGCACCAATCAGAGTCCCGTCTGAGCATGCGGTGTCGGCCTGAATGGCAGAGCAGCTCCTAAGGCTGCCCCAGCGCCCAGCCACCAGGCCAGTGCCTTTCAGAAGAGGCAGCGACTGGGCCACTGTGATCTCACGGGTGTAAAGTGGAAGGCCTGGCACTAAGAGGCGGTGATCTGAGCTTTGCAGTGACGTCACTGGGATCCCAGGGGCTCCTCTGAGTCCTCCCACCATCCTTGTTGCACCTTGTGATGGCTGGCCAGGCACTTGGTGCTAAAAGACATTGAGTTCCTGCAAGCCTATGTGGCTTGCCCAAAGTCTGTCCCCCAGGCACAAATTCCTGGAATCTTCCTTAGAAGTCAGCTAGTTCACTCACTTAGGGACTGAGAAACAGACCTGAAGAGGGAGAGGGACAGTCAGATCACTTGCAGCCTGAGCCCACCTCCCACTGACCCAGATGCTTCAGGCAGTGTCTTTGCTTTCTGCTTCACCTCGGAGCACTTGCCTCCTGCCCTCACCATGCATGAAACAGCATCTCATGGGAGCGGTTCCAAGGAATAAGCTTTGGGTTAGGACTTGCCTAATTAACTTACTAACTGACCACCCTGAACCCAGGCAGGAAATGCCAAGCAGAATTTGAGAACTGGATTCCGTTCCTGGTGGCTTGGATGCTTGTTCCACTCACTGGCTTTTATTGTTTTAAGTTTTGGTCCTAGCCTGCTGCCCCTCTCTTCATCCTCATACTCCATACTGCTCCTAGCCCTTTGCCTAATCTGCCTCCCTCTCTCTCTGCATGCTACTCTGATTATGTGCCTACAGCAGCACAGACAAGTGTCTTTCTGTAGGGGTCTGCCTGTTCAGAGGCTCAGGGCCTCCCTTTGGCTGGTTGGGAGGTGGGCAGGCAGAGGAGGCTGCAGCGACCTCTACAGATGAACTGCCCCTTGAGGGCCTTTAACAATCATCCCCGGACCAGGGTGGCTGGTCCCTTTATTGCTTCCAAAGAATGCTGGCTGGCTTTATTCTTTTCTTCAGCAAGCCAGGATTGATCTCCATTCATCAATGGACAAGGAAGGCAAGGAGGGAGGAGGTTCCAGAGCAGGAGGGTAGAAGAAGGGGAGGGTGACTCAGCCAGTGCCACACACCTGTTGCTCTGGTTTGTAGTGCTGGAGAGAGATCCCCGAATGAGTCACTAACTGGTGGCAGTGATGGGTCCAGAATGCTGGGCAGGGTCCACTTCATGACTGTCCCCCTGTCATTCAAGTCCAGCTACCCTGCCGTGTTATAGTCCGCAGCTAGGAGGTCTCCAGGGCAGGGTCTTCAGGTCTCGCTGGAGTCCCTCAAACCCTTTTATTTGACACCCCCCCCAACCAGAACAAGTGTAAGCCCTGATCACTATCCTTTCCTCACCCAAACAGTGGCTGTGTTCGAGAGAGGCTGTATGAATGGACAGGGTGCCTGGGGAAAAGGCAGTACTCCTCCCTCCGGGGACAAGCGATCCACCCTTGTCCAATTTGGCCTTGTGTGTGTTTGAGACAGTCTCTCAGTGGTCTGGAACTTGCCAAGTAGGCTTGGCTGACTGGCCAGCAAGCCCCAGGGATCCTCCTGTTTCCACTTTCCCGGATCTAGGATTTTAAGCACCTACTGCCATGCCCAGCTTTTTTCTTTTTCTTTTTTTAAAGATAGGTTCTAGGAATCAAACCCAAGTCCTCATGCTTGTAAGGCAAGCACTTTACCAACTTAGCCATCTTCTTAGCCCCAGTTTGGGCTCTTAACAGTATAAACAAAACCTGTGACTTCATTTCAGCAACCATCCTTCAGAGTCACCTATCTGGAGGTCTCTGGGACAGGGCAGAGGCACACACACCGTGGTAATCCTGGGTCCCACCTAGCCTCTCTCACCTCCTCTCCCTTCCCTGGCCAGGTGGTGAGTCAGATCGACAAGCTAACCTCTGACTTTGACTTTGAACTGGAGCCAGACGACTGGACCACAGCCACTGTGAGCAGCACCTCCAGCAGTGACAAGGCGGGTGTGGGCGGCCCCTTTGACCTGGGCCACCTGGACTTCATGACAGCCGATATCCTCTCAGACAGCTGGGAGTTCTGTTCCTTCCTGGATGTCTCTACCCCATCAGACTCTGTGGATGGGCCTGAGGCATCCCGGCCAGGCCCAGGCCCTGACTACCAGCTCATGAATGGTGGCATGCCCATCCCCAACGGGCCACGAGTGGAGACGCCAGACTCCTCCAGTGAAGAGGCCTTTGGTGCTGGCCCTGCAAAGGGTCAAGTGCCCCAGCGGACCCCAGGGACGAGGGAGAGGGTACGGTTCAGTGACAAAGTGCTCTACCACGCTCTGTGCTGTGATGATGAAGAGGAGGATGGTGAGGAGGTAGAGGAGGAGGAGGCGGGCCTGGCCCCAGAGCTGCCTCATGTGGAGCCACACACAGGCCCCCTCAAGCCCTCCCCAGCCCCCTACAAGACCAGGCGCTCTCCATTGGCCACCCGACGCCTGGGCCCCGCGTTGGCCCCAGAACAGACCCGAAGGGTCACAAGGAACAGCAGCACCCAGACAGTATCAGACAAAAGCACGCAGACAGTGCTGCCCTATACGGCCACCAAACAGAAAGCTAAGGGCAAAAACTAGGGGCTGGGAGGGGGATGCATAGAGCTATAAATATATACATATATATTTAAACAAACACAGTCATAATAAAATTCATAAATACTAAGGATCCGGGCCCACAGGCCCCAAAGCCTTCAGAAAGCTCATCCTAAAAGAACAAGATGCCCAGAGTTCACCTTCCTCTCCATATGGCAGGGTTCCCTGATGGAAGCTGAACCCTACCGTGCCCACTCCAAGTGCCCAACACCACGGAGGTCTGTGATTGCTAGCCTGGGCCATTTCCTAGGGAGAACTCAACAGCCAGAAGCAAGCTAAGGGAACAGTAGGCCAGGGCAGGGCTCACCCAAAAGACCAAGAACTTAGAACCCGTGGTTGGCATCACCCTGGCTAGACCCAGAAGTACCCCTGTCCTCTTGGGGAGACCTGTCTGTGCCTTGTCTCTCCAGAGGAGAGACAATGCTGTCACACACACACTCACCCACCTTAGGGTTGTCCCAAACACTGTGAAGGGTAGCCTGCTGTGGGGAAGGCTGGCAGCCACCGAGCTGGTGGAGCTGCAGGACCAGGCCAGTGCAATCCAGGAACCCAGTCCATTCTGATTCCTTCAGCTCCCGTTCTTAACTCCGGGGTTCAGAATCCTCATCTCTTGCCCTGAGCAGAACCAAGGTCTGTGGACAGTGGCAGTGGCCATCACAGTGCTAGGAACCAAGACACAGAGGCGCTTAGCCTTCTGCACTAGGCAGGCAGTAGGCAGCCAGGTACCGTGTCTCCACCTGGCTCCTCCTCCTTCGCACCCAACCCCTTAGCTCATCTTGGCAAGCCCTGAATAGAGTCGAAGGAAGATATAGCAGCAAGAGAGCGTCCCCCACTGCGTGATCTTCCTGGCAACAGATTCCAATGTCCTGAGGGGGAAACTGTCACTGTCCACACCGGGCAGGTCACTATGCTGAATGCACTAAGTACCATCACCTCATTGCCCCACTTTTCAGATGAGAAGACTGAGGTTCAGAGAGGTGACGTAGCAGATGCAAGACCACAGAGCTTCTGCTTTCCTGTCCCCGAGAACAAGTAGTTTGTAGGCTGCCCTGGCCCTGCTGTATAGCGGCTATGTCACCTCGGGCCAATCTGTTAGCCTCTTTCTTTGACCCTTTTTACTTCAGCTGTAAATGGGTCTGATACTCTTCACCACCTCAGTAACGGTCACAGGGATCCAGCATGGTGTAGACAAATTGAAGGCCCTGAAGGCCTACTGTGGGCAGTGTGTATCAGCCTGCATCTCCAGTGACTTCCAGGATAGAGGACCAAAGTGGAAGCTGTCCTGAGTCAGAAGTATCACATGGCTTTGTCCCTACAAACAGCTTGAGGCCAGAAGATGGCCACAGCATGACTCATTAACCCCACCTTGGAGCAGAGAGGTAAGGTCGGTGAACGGTTGAGAGCATCGGTCCTGAGGCCTTCCTGGGCACGGCTCTATTAGTGCAGAGCCACAACCCACCAGGGGGCCTCGTGTTCTACCAGCACCCGCTTTCTCTGCCTGGGGAGGTACTGTGTGGTGCCGCAGTGGGGACTAGCAGGCTGGCCTAGAGGGGATGGAAGGACATAACTGGAAAATCTGACAGGCCTAGGGTATCACAGGATGAGATCTGTCCCCCACCATGGTGAGGTCAGAGCCCTACAAAGCCAGAGTGGTGCAGCCACCAGAGCAGGAGTCCAGTGATGCCAGCTAGAGCTAGCTCATGCCAGCGGGCCAGCGAGGCCCTGCCCTCCCTTAGCTGAACAGTTCCCGCTCATCCCATTCCATCTCTGAGGCTGGCTTTTCCCTCATTAGTGATGAAGCCGTTTTTCTCATGTTTTCAACCATTATGGAGATGAAACCTACGGAGTAGTTCTCATTTCATAGGGCCAGGCTCTCTGCGAGCCCAGAGCAAGGGAATGCCTCCTCTAACCCAGGCTTATACGACTATGCTTGGTCACAGATAACCTCCACCACTTGTACCCAGGTGGGGCACAGAGTGAATGTGTCCTGGTTTTGAAGTAGATATAGGTCCACCATGGTGAAGGCTCAGAAAGCTCTTGGTGTACTCACCAGATCCAGACCTCACTGGCAGTGGGATAGGATTGCCTGGACTTCTTAAGACTTGAAATACAGGCCTCATCTACCCAGGGAGGAAAGCATCAGAGCAGGGACTCCTATCCTTAGAGCACACAAAGCCATCCTGGGCCCCTCCCCCACCGAGTCAGCCCTTCCTCCAGCTCCTCCCTGCCTCCGGGCCTCTGCTGTTGTCCGGCTTTGCTCCTAAGGACCTATCTGCTTCTAGGAGGTAGGATTTCACCTGCCACCTGCTGTGTGCACTTTCTTGTGCTGTAGGTGCTCTAGAGGAAGTAGGAGGGAGCCAAGCCAGCCCTCATAACAGAGAAGGGGCTAAGCATAATAAATAGCTCCATTAATGAGCACATACTATGCGCTGGACTTGTGGAAGCATGTGCCTTATCTCCTTCATTCCTCAGACATTGTCAAATATGTCATTTTACTTAAACTGAGGTTCTGAGAAGTCCTGTCATTTACTAAACAATACAAGTTAGGAAAACCAAACTCGGTTTCTTAGCACCCGTGTATGTGCTGACAAGAGGTGGCCCAAGGACCATGTGAGCCCTGGAGGGCAAGAAATGTGTTAGAAGAAGGAAGCCAGGGAACCTTCTGTTTGGGGAGACCTTAGCCGCTGTCAACCTACACGTCGCAGGCCCTCTCTCAGCCCAAGACTGAATGGACCATAGATTTGATAAATGATTGTCGAATGTATTAACGAGCCCCTCTGCATCCATTTAGTCAGCCGTCACTGAGGCCCTCCAGTGTGGCAGATCTCATGTTGCACAGGCATACATGTGCACACACTCCCACGCGCACGTAACTCTCCCCTGTGAGAGGCTGGTTTGGGATGTCTCAAGGCTGGGCAGGAATGAAGAATGTCAAGTTTCAGCCTTGTCAAGTCAGGGATGTTTACTGGGTCTAGCCTTACCAAGATGCCAAGGGGGGAAAAAATGCCAGAAGCCAGAGGGTGAGGAAAGTACTCAGAAACATGTCCTGAGAGCTGGAGGCTTCTCAGCCTGACACCACTGTGGTAGAATTAAGCACACTGCAGTATCCATGAGCGCCTGAGAATAAGGAGAATCCCAGCTATATAGTGGACAGATGTGGTTTTCTGAAACCAACAGCAGAAAGCAGAAGACACCATTCAGAGACACCCCACCCCGCTCCCAGCACCATCCTCTGTCCTTAGACAGAGCCAGGTCATGTTAACAAGAGAAGGGGTTGGGGTGGGGATCCAAGAAGCAGCAGGCCCAGCCCTCCACACCCCATCCTGAGTCCCCTCTCTCTGCCCCCACCTCTCCTAACTCCTCCTATCCCCACTTCTCCTTCCAAAAACTGAGACTTGTGTAAGAAAACTGGCGTTTTTTGACAACCTTGTATATGCCAGGAACCAGGCCATGTCTTTTAACCAACACTAAATAACAGATTCAGCTGGGCCCTGTGCAGAACAGGTTGTTCAATACTTATTTATTGAGCAAATGGATTAACCACAACCATCATTTTAACAGGTCAGGCAAGGGGACAAACGAACAAAGGAGACTTAATGTTGCTATAGTTCGTGAAACCTATGAGAGCAGGTGTTTATGACCCTTCCTTTGGAACGGGGTATCCCTGGGTACCTAGAAGGGGGAGTAAAGGTCATTTGGGGATGCTGGGACCTTAAAGGTAGATGGAGTGGCCATATGCTGGGCAAGAGAGTGAGGTCCTATTAAAGCAGGGGAAAGATGTTGGAGCTAATGCGGTAAAATGAAAAAGCTGAGGGGCACTCCCCGCTAGGAACTTCAGACACTGCTCCCTCCCACCCCCAGCTCTCACCAACTCACTCTGTTCTCTTGACAAGGGTTGAGGTAGGGAGACAACACCTGCCTAGTCTGAGATGAGAGTCTGTCTTTAAAACAAGTCAATAATGTGCTATCCAGCAGGCTGTTACGATGGGGACTCATTCAGTGCATAAATGAAAACAGCACAGTTAGCACCTTGGTAATTTGGATATACTAAAACCCTCAAAAAAAAAATACTGTATCCTACCATTCTGTTTTCCACAAGCCATCTAGGCAGGTTCCTGAGGCTGTGTCCTGATACACATGAGCCAGCTGGGATTTTCATATGACCTGACTCTGCTCACCTGCCTGCCCTGCACCCCAACACAGCCACCATTATCATTTACATCTCCTTTATGGGTCTCCAACAAACAAGCTGAGGAGAAGGAGGGTCTAGGGCAACCTCAGGCCAGCATTGCTTAGGGCTTGGGCCACACGCTGATCGGATCTGACTCCCTGCCAGGAATCCTCAAACTCACACACCTGCCTGAGGCTCTGCTGTCCCTCCTGTTTCTCCTGGGACCTGCAGGGGTGGGGCTCACCACGTGACAGGGGTTCACCATCCGCTGCCATCTCAGAAGTGCTACCAAAACCCATCTTAAGGGCTGCCCCACTCATCCTCAGCTCCCTAGCAGAGCAGGGCTCACTACAAGATACAACCCATGAAAGAGGTTTGGAAGGAGGTCTGGGACGGGACCCGGATGCCTTTTGGTTCTTTTTCATTTTGTTTTTTTAAGTTTTTATTAACATGTGTGGGCTTCAATATGGCATTTTATACATATATAATGAATGTTGATCAATGTACATAATGTGGTAATCTCTTATTACCCTCTCGGTCCCTCCTACTCCTGTTGATCCCCTCACTCATCTCAGCTAATCCTCCTCCTGCTTCTACTCTCATGTCCTCTTTCTTTCTCTTTTCTTTCTTTCTTTTCTGTGACTCAGTTTTATTAGGTCTATTTGCAGCAGCACAGGAAACTTACCAATGACGACTGAAAAAAATGTTTCTTCCTCACCAACCATTAGCTGCTTTTAGATTCTAAGGGAGGGTTGAGGGCTCCATGAGCCTCTCTGAGAGCCCCAGTGTTTGTGGGGTTTCCTATACTCATCCTGGTCAGGGATGCTCCTGTAAAAATGGAGAATTTCCTCAGGCACCATGGTGGGAATAACTGAGCCACCTTGGAGAAGGTGAGAAAACCACCTAAGGGAGGGAGGCTTCACTTTGGTTCCTGGTTTCAAAAGATTCAGTCCGTACTTTCCACCTGATGCAACAGAAGGGGTGAGAGTTACAGAGCAGGGCTGCTCAGCTCATGGCAGCTGGAGAGCATCGAGATGGACAGGGAGGGGCCTTACACAAGATTTGCCCTTCCAAGGCAATATCTGCTCCCCACTCTCATATGCAGCCTCCTTCCCCCAGCCAGGTTCCACTTCCTAGTTTCCAGCAACCCCCAGTAATGTCATCAAATAATGAGTTTATCAGTGGCTTGAGTCATTGATTAGGTCAGAACCCTCATGCTTCAGTCACCGCTCAATGATTGGATCCGTCAGCTGTGGGCCAGGCCGTGCACACACAAGCTTTTGAGGGGAGACACCACATCCAAACTGTAAGAAGAGGTTACTAGGTGACCCAGGAGTTTGGGAAGAGTTATTGAACCCCAGTGGACCCCCTCCCCAGAGTCAGCAACCTAGGTACTCTCCTTGTTCCTTATCTCCTTAAAAACTAATGATACCTGGCATCAGTGCTAGGAAGAGGCCTGTCTGCTTCAAGGCTCGGGAGGGTAGACGAGAAGTCAACTGTGAGTACAGGTGACTCTGCAGAGTGATAAAGCAGCCTGCAGGAGGTGATGGTTGCCCTTGGCCTGAGAACACAGTCAGGAGCAAGGCAAGAGCTCAGCTTGGGAAGTCCCATGTGGCTCTAAAACTGTTCCCAAGAGTGCTCAGCCTGTGACACTGTAACAAGAGGCCCGCTGAACTGGTCCCAGAGCCTGAAAGTAGGACAAGGGCCCCTGTCAATAAAGAGTTTCCTCCAGGCCTAGTATAGGCAAGGGTAGACCTCCAGAGTCCTAAGTGCCCACTCAGCCTGTGCATCTGCCCTGGGGATTCCCCCCC